ACTTTCACTTTCACCCGAGAGCCTGCAGGAGTCATCGGCAGAGTGTGTGGGGGGGAGGGGAGGTGGATGGGGGAGGGTGCGCTCTGCCATGAGGAAGTTCGGCTTAAAGACACGTCCCAGGGGCGTTTATGGTACCAAAAGGTGTTTCTGGTCCCCACCTGTCGTTTTGCTCCTCAGCATGTCTTCCTAAAAACACTGCAGGATTTCTCAAACATGCACGAATGAGTCAGAGCAAGACTTTGGGCATGTTTTTTTTATTAGAGTATAACATTGTAGCATGATATAAAACTCAGAAAAGTTTATTTTACATGACATCGCCCCTTTAAAACAACACATCTTAAAAATAATAATGGATGAAGCCTAAAAAAACGTGAACACGACCCTTGATGATTCATTAGCATTCAGACTATGTATCGGTTTAGCTGCCATCTCTTTAGGTTATTCATAATTTTCAATTGCAGACCAATATCATCCATGATTACTTTTCAAGAGTTTCGTTCAAATTTGTCCAATGGCTAGGATATTTTGCTAACACAACAGCCATGCAAACACATTTGTACAAAAAGGCCACCATAATGAGGTAGATAATTAAACAACAAGTTTTTATTGTGTTTTTCTGGGTTTTCTTACTGTTGATTATAGTATTTGTTTTTGATTTTTTTTCCCACAATCTGTATGTTTTCATTCATTTTGTCTTTGTGTTATTTTGTACCATTAATCATTTTCCCTCAATCAGTCAGTTCCTCTTTTGCTCCACCTGTCACGTCACCTTGCATCACAAAWTTTTTTCAAACACACTGGAATCCAAAAGGATGTTTCTGCTAAAAAACAGTTTTTCTTTTAAGGTGATCCTGACATTTTGTGCTCGTGACATCCTGCAAACACAATGTCATCAGTATGAACTCACACCAGTCTGATTAATCACATTAATATGGAAATTTGTGCAACAAGGCTTAGCAAAGTCAGCCCGTATCATCCACTCCATCTGGGACACCTGTGGCCAAAGGAAAAAAAAAAGGTTTGTGTTGATGGTGCTGCAGCCAGWTTTGGAGGGCGAAGGAAAAAAAAGAGCAATCAGTGATCTCATTAATCTCTAACGAAGAAAAAGAATCTAGAGGGGCAGCGGAAAAGAAAGTAAGCAGGGGAAAAGAAACATTTCAGAGGKTGTGCCAGAATGTGACGAGCGTGATGTGATGGTGGAAGTTCCAAACTGTGAAATGCATCAAACTGTGGTCAGAGATCTGAGGAACAGTTTGCCGCTGAGTTCTTTCCTCGCTTTTGTGAGTTCGGGGCTGCAAAAGATGTCGAAGGAGTGGCTTACGAACAGGAAGGGCAGAACTTTTTGGCATTTGGAACAAAGCAAAAGTCAGTCTCACTGCTCCAAACCCCAGAGTTCAGTCAGAAGTCTTTGGCTTGTTCGCTTTCTTTGGTCGGCTTCTTTTTACTTCGTGTGTTTGCCTTGTTTCAGAAGTCAGCATTCTTGTTTATGTTTTCTGCTCAAGTGAGTCACCCCTCCGTACTGGTGCATGCAAGTGTGTGTGTGTGTGTGTGTGTGTGTGTGTGTGTTTGTGTATGCATCAGGCTGCTATTTCAGCACTTTCCAGCACTATCGATTCAAACCAGCCTGCAGGGGTAAAAAAATAACAGGCTCCTTACAGCCAGCCACACACACAAGCTGTTTTGTCTATCCCTGTAGGGACCTTGCATTGACTTCCATTCATTTTTCAGTCATTTCTATAGTCTAATGCTGGCCTTTTACTCTAAACCTAATTACCCCAGTACATAACTGGCCCTAAACCTAACTACCCCAGTACATAACTGGCCCTAAACCTAACTACCCCAGTACATAACTGGCCCTAAACCTAACTACCCCAGTACGTAACTGGCATTAAACCTAACTACCCCAGTACATAACTGACCCTAAACCTAACCTAAACTCAATTCACACTTTGCTCCTAAAGCTAACCCCACAGCTAAAATCAGCATCTGTACCCATAAGGACCAGGCATTGGTCCCCATGAGAAGCATTGTGTCCCCACAAGGCTGGAAAATGGTCCTTATAATGTAGCAAACGCACAGGCACACATGCATAAAGCCACAAGTGAAACACAGATTTACATCCAATGAGCACACTGACTTAGTACACATAAAACTCTACAAAAACAGTGTACATATTACCATTTATGACCAGCTGATTGATTGGCTTGAGACSCAAGGAGCAGCACCCAATCACAGGGGAGACACAGGAGAGGAGGCAGATCCTAAAAAAAACACAAGGCATTACTTCAATGCAAAATCAAACATCCACACTGGGGATGTAACAATGACAAAAGCCAAAAAATCTAAATGAGGTCTCTGAAATGGCTCAGAGTGAATAGTTGTTCCTGCCAACGCCATAGGCGTAATTTGCAGGGGGTTAGGGGGATTATGACCCCCACAATTATTTGATCCAGTTTGCTCAAACACACTGGTTAAGTAGACAGATGCAACTCTCTTGTTGTCTTTAGGTAACTTTAACCTGATTAAAAAAATTACCATGTCGTATATGTTTAAGCATAATTGCTAAAAATGCCATGCAGGATTTTAAAGAATAAGCCCCCCAACGGTAGACAAAGTTACGCCCTTGGCCATCGCTCAGCCATAAATATAAGGAGGGTAATTTAGTTTCAGTTATATCAATTTTGTATCTCAATCTAAACTTATTGGTTGCTTTAATGACAAAGTTTTCTGTTTTTCCACTGTTTTAATACAAAAAAAAAAACATTATTACTGGTCATATTAATAAAAAAAAGGCTCTATTGCATTCAAAACTACCACCCACTGTGTGAATGCAAATGTATATAAGTCATGGTTGCAACTTGAGAGTGTGAAGGTCACAGTATATCTGCCACTTCCAGAAACCAGACTACAGCAGTGGTTCAGAGTTTCAAAGGGGGTTCTGTTGAACGATTATGCCTCTTGGTGAGAGATTTTTTTTCAACATAATCCAGGGGATTTCTCTTGGCTACCACCRTGCCAAATCTCAGCTCAAAATGGTTACAAGTGGCTGCATTCTGGCTCCTATACTTTTGTTACGGCAGGCCCCTGCTGTCYGTAGCACTTTAAACAATCCGAGTTTGGACAAACAGAGATGACCTTACTGGATGAAAACAAGTGGGAAAATTTCTTACCAAAAACACTGCTTGCATTGGGATGACAGGTGCAATTGCAATCAATAAAAAGTTTGTTTAACAAAATATCCATGTCATACAGGACCTGAGGGGGTTCTGTTTTCAACCACAGACTTATTTTACGTTGTGTACATCGGGGGCCGAGTTAGGACCCACTATCTGGTACAAACCTCCTCGTTCCTCTTGATGCTGGAGACAGTTTTGTGGTTTGTTTGTGGTCATTGCCACGACGCACAATAAATTTGAGCTACATTTTATGCCTCCCTGATGATGTTGAGTGATGACTAAGAACCCAAACACTGAAGGTGTTTGTGCGCTGTGTGTTTGTGACCTTCAGCTGCAGGTCCATAGGCTCTTTTTTATTTTTTGTTGAGGGAGGGGATGCTGCAGAGGGTTGATGACTCAATGCTACTCTAAAGCCTCTCATGTATGTGTGTCAGACAAATAGAGTGAAATAGAATATGCATGCAGGTCAGTTTGTAAAGTAAGCTATTTTTGTGTTTCTGTTTACATACAGGCTCAGAACTGGCTGCAAAGGCAAATGGAGTCGTTTGCACCTGTGTGATTTGAGATTTGTGTGTGTTTGTGAGTGAGGTGTCTGCATGTTTTTGCAAGGTCACTCATACGAACAAACCATTACAGACACACAAGGACACGCCTCTAACCGTCACCTGTTCATATAATGTGTTGTATGTATGCACTATACACACCTTCGCATAATGACACGCTCACCCTCCAGGGTTTGAGTAAAGGATACGCAGCAGGTGTGGGTCAAACCGACTGAGCCACAYCACAGCCTCCCAGCATGCTGTACTCCTCCGCTGCTGACCTTAGCTGTAAATAGAACCAGGAAGTAGTTATTTCAGGATCTCATTTCCACCCACACTGGGGGTAAACCATAATTAGCCCAACATCTCTGCCTCTCTGACGGCCTCCCACCGAAGCTCCATCACGAACCTTGATTGGACCGAACACACCACATGGCATATGATGGATATATGAAATAATGTACGGCATCGCTCTGAATTCCCTCGTTAGAAACCACCTTCATTTGAATATTTTTAAACAGAAAGAAAAWAAACTCAATCCATTAGAGTTTTGTTTTGAACCCAGTGTAGAAGTGTTTTATTTTGTATGCTGTAACTGACAGAGAGCTGCAGGATAGCCCATCTGGTTAACATGGCTTCTCTGCAGCAAGGAGGTCCTTATTCAAAACTCGACAAGGATTTTCCTTTCTGTATGGAGTTTCCATGTTCCACTTCTGTTTGTATGGATTTTCTCCAGGTCCTCCTGTCAGGATCCATGTCGTGTTTTGTGTTTATTGTCCTGATGCATCTCAGTAATCCAGGTAGAAAAAAATCAAAAAGAAAAAATAAGTAGGTCCTCTAGATGGGTTCTTCTTTAGTGAAACATTTTGTCTCTCCTCCAAGAGACTTCTTCAGTCTGATGAGTTTCAGGTGAACTCAGCTGTATAAGCACTGCCTCCACATGGACAAACAGGTTAGTCACATGCAAAAGAGGGCCATCGACTAACAATAGGCTTGATTAGYTCTATTGTTCATAGAGGGTYATSTGCCCCACCACCTGACTTATTGGTTTGGATGCTTCAGCTGTGGTTCTTTGGTGTTTTGTTATCTGTATTTAGTGAGTGCAAGCGGGGCTTGACGTCCCCCCTTTTTTTTTCTCTCTTTCCCTCTTTGTGTTGGTTATCATTGGGGCCCTGATTCACACCTTTTACTCGCAGGGGGCTGAGTCATACTTGCAATACTGTGAGCAAAAGGTGTGAATCACGGCCCCAATGATACCAACACAAAGAGGGAAACAGGGACAAAAACAAGGGGACATTGAACCTCCGCTTGCATTCACTACATACACATAACACGACACGTGTCAGATGATGGGACACATGACCCTCTATGAACAATAGAATTAATTCAGCCTATTGTTAGGCGATGGCCCTCTTTTGCATGTGACTAAATRRAKYTAAWCAAGCCTATTGTTAGGCGATGGCCCTCTTTTGCATGTGACTAACCTGTTTGTCCACGTGGAGGCAGTGCTTATAAGGCTGAGTTCACCTGAAACGCATCAGAATGAAGAAGTTTCTTGGAGGAGCGACGAAACATTTCACTGTAGAAGAACCCATCCAGAGGACCTACTTATTTTTTTTCTTTTTGATTTTGTGTTTACTGTTAAGTTTATTCTCTTTATGGTTGTTAGTTTTTTCTGTTTTGTGCTTCTTGCATTTGATTCTGTTCCTCCTATTCGTATTAATGTTATCATTAGTTGTTTTTAACTCGGAGTATAAAGATGTGGTGTTTGTCAATGCCAAAGATATGCTAATAAACAACAAATTGACCTAAGATCGGCCCCTAAAACTTCATAAAAGTCTAGTTATAGGGAATAAACTCACTGCTGGCTTAACTATTCTACCAAATTTGATGTCTATGCTTCTCTGTATTCTTTCATCAACCTCCTCTAATCCTTTTTTTCTCTCACACCAATTCCCTGGTTTTCTCTCAYTCTTCTATTTTATTTAACTTCCCATTTCTTCTAGTATTTATCTTTTAGCCAGTCCTTTTTTTTGTCATGTTTCTTATCCTTTATTTTCCTTTTCCCCCACTGCTGTTTTCTCAGCATTTGGCAGGGTTTCTGTCTTCTCTGCAGCCTGYGTGTGCTGTGTCTGTGCTGTGTCTACATTCTGTTCCCGTACTCGTCTCTATCTGCTTATCTTTCGTACATTCATGCAAACACGACAGCTCAACAACTGCCGTTAACAAAAGGCAGTTATTACTGGGTGTTTTAAAGAAGGAGAGTGTTCATCCAAAATCGTTAAGAGTCTTTAAGATATGATTACTCTATGAAATAATTAATTTTGTATAGSAATAATTCTCGACAGAAAGCAATAGAGAATTTCCAGTTAAATTAAAATAAATTCACCATTTTTTTAAGTCAAACTTATCAAAAATACAGCATTGTTTTGAACCTGTGATTTGATTCTGTCTCATATTCAGTGTAAATAGCAGGAGATGATGGAGAGGAAAATTCCATTTTAATATGAAGAGACTTCCAGTTGAACTATACTCTGGAGGACGGTCATTTGCCTCAGCAAAAGTAAAAGGAGCTGGCAAAGAATAACTGCTGAACAAAAAAAAAAAGAAAAGTAAAGCACAAACTTACTAAAAGAAATGATGGTGCAGACATGCATAAGGAGGCTGAGGAAATGTGCATTATGGGACATCCCACAGCAGTCTAAACCTATAGCAACGCAGTAGCTAAATGGATGGTTTGAGCTAGTTTTATGTTAGTTTGCAGGTTTTTGTTCTTTAATTTCCTAGATTTATAGTTATAATTGAATTGTTCTTGGTTTTGTTGTACTACTACACATTTCCCCAGCCTGTTGTTATATTTAGTTTGTATTTTTTTTCCTGCCTGACACACCTTAGCATTCCCAATCAGCACACCTGCTTTTTATTTTCGGAGTACCTCGCTTTCCTTTACTCCTCCTCGCCAGCTCATTCTCTTTTCCAGCTCTTTATTCAGTCAGTTGTTGCCAAGTTCATGTTAGTCAAGTTTGGTTGTTTTTGCCAAATTTGAGCCATGTTTACTTCTGTTCAGTCTGCCTTCTGCAGCACCCCTTAGGTTTTGGAAAATAAATGTTTTCTATCTTCATTACCCACCATCACCAGGCCTGCATTTGGGTCTGTGTTTTCCTTCCTCACCAAATGACTCCAACTACAAGTGTTCTTAAAAATGAGGTTTTAGGACATACAGATATTCAAAATATGTTCATATTTTAGTCTTTTTCTGTACGTGGTGAATTAATGTTGGCTCAAATGTTCTTAAGTCACCAAGGAGCTTCTGTGGCAAACTGAAGGCTCAGTGTTGGCAGTGAAGTTAGGTGCTACATGGAAAAAAGACAAAAAAAATCCTTACAGAGGCTGTTTGATGCTCTGACTAACGTTCTGCTGGGAAGCCTTGGGTTCTGGGATTCATGTCGATGCTACTTGGATAGCTACCAAACATCACTGCAGAACACTTATACTCTTTTACAGAGAGAACATTTACTGACATTATTCAGCTGTGAAACAGGACTTGAGACAAAAAAATGTTTAGATGTATTTACTTATTAGGGTCAGGCTTGCTATATATATAT